GTGAAGCCTAAGTCTAAGCCTAAGCCAATCCTAAGCTAAACCTAAGCTTCAGTTAAGCCATGCCTAAGCCAAGTCCAAGCCAAGCCTAAGCACACCTTTGGATCAAACGAAGCCTGCTTGCTCGCCACAAGCGTCGACACCTTCTTATGCACATCCGATGTAATGCGATGCGCATCAAAGTTGATAATCTCCTCCTTCACGCCGGATTTGGCCAGGAATCTGAAGCGGATACGGTAACTAGGGCACCAAATAATTTGCTCACTTTCTCATGGCTTCCCAGGATGTATCCAAAATGCCCATGAATAGGAGTACAGCCTGTAGAATATCACGCACGGCTTCCGGTGGTGCTCTTAGGGATCGAATCTCGGAGAGCGACTCGGATTTGATTGAGCCGACCGCTTCGCGGGCTTCCTAAGCGGGAGTATTTATAATTTTTTAGCCACAACTGCCAAGGAATAAAATGTAAATTGTATTTTTAGTAGTTTTAGGAGTTTCCGTTAAGAAAAACATATCAGAAAACGTTAGAAACTTTTTTGAAATTGAATTTTAGATATTTTTTTAGTCATTTTTAGGTATTTTTAGGTTCTTGTTCGTTATCGGGGGGGGGGGCTTTAAATAGACCCAAAAATAGGCCTGTCTGTCAGTTGCTTCCCACCGCTAATGCACCAAAACCCATTTTTGTAAAAAATAAAAAATGTTGTCATTTTTATGATGTGTTATACCAAAAAAATCGTCATTTATGAAACACTATATTTTTAAAGCTTTTCACAATTTTACAATTTCAAGGTTTTTACAATTTCGAAAATGTTGCTTTTGTGCCCCCCGCTAAAAGGTAAGCTCCAGAAATCAGAGATTTACATACAAAAACCAACCCTGAGCAACGGCTCGACGTCAGCGAGCTGTTCATCAATCCTGGCCCGCTGTGCCTCAATCTTCTCATTCTCCCTCCCGACATCCCCTCGCAGCTTCTCCATCGACTCCTTTTGATCCTGAGCCCCAGCCATGCTCTGGCTGATCGCAGCCAGAGCAGCATCAGCCTCTCGCTGTTTTTCGGCGAGTAATCGGCTCTGTTTGGCGGCCCTCGATTGCATGGCGGCAACCGCTTCGCGGGCCTCTGTTAGCTTGCCGACGCCAGCCTAAAAAATGCGCTGTTTTCGTTAAAATATGCCTAAAATACCGTAAGTCTCTGCAGTCGTGAAGTGACGGCCTCTTTTTTGGTGGTGTATAGGCGTGCGTAGTTCTGGATGAGGGTTGTGTATCGTGAAGGGGTAGCCAGTTCTTTTGGGGCCATTCCGAAAAGTTGGCGGAGAAGGCCGACGATTTCTTCGGATGGGGATTGAACACCGGCACGGGGCAGTTCAACGGTAGGCATCTGGAAAAGCGGTATTTCGGGAGTTTTCTGCTGTCGCCGTCTACTCCAGACGCGTACGGGCGCGTTGGGCGTCCGCAATTACATTAAACTTCAGAACTTTTGCATTATCGGGGGTAAAACAATTTTTTCGTTGACATCCAATTCTTTAACAACCCTCGATAAGTTTTTCGAAACTATTTTTTAATATTCCTAAACGCAAAAACTTTACAACTCTGTTAAAAACAAAAAATATAGATTTTCGACCGAAATTTCGAATTTTTGCGATTTTCAGACTTTTTTCGATAGTTTTCCACTTGAAAAATAGCTAACTTTTTCCAAACACTATTAAGCTGCTTACTATTACGTTACTAAGTACCCACCCCCCGATGATGCAAAAGCACCCAGATTTCTTACCTGATCAAGCGTGTGCAGACCCCATTTTTCCATCCAAATCACTTCGCAATTCCGGAAGAGGGCTGGATTAGCGGCTGTCCTTTCTTCGAACCTAAAAAATAGGGGTATAATACTACTAAACAATGCAAAAAAATTAAATTCTAATAATACAAAAAATTTTAAAAAAATAGAAAAGTAAGGCTTGTTAAAAACTAACTTATCATTATCCACATCCAGCACCAAAGCCACGTGCACCAACGAGCGGACGCCTAAAGAATTGTTAATTTCTTTCTTCTTATTATTTTGTTTGTAGTTTTCAGTCGTCTTCTGTCTTCTTTAGATGAGAAAAACGGATAAACAAGTTCAAAACACCTACGATAGGCAAAGAAATCGTTCAAATTCCCCTGGAAGTTCATTTGGCTCGCCTGGTCCCGAACCGCAGCGATCAGCCCATCAAGCTCTAAAAAGTGACCAGATTACCGTATCTCACTATTAATATTAAAGTTACCTTGAGGGGTAAAAAGCCCAGGGACTTCGCCGGCAGAAAGTAGTGAATTTAGGGTTTGGAGGAGGGCAGGGAGTGCGGATACCTCCCATTCTTCTACCACCATCAGTACGTGTTCACCATTCATTAATGCTTGGTTGATGGCCTAAAATGAATGTGTAGTTTGTAGTTTTGGTTCTTTTGCATTATAGGGGGGGGGGGGGGGGTGTATTAAAAATGCAAAAAAACTCGATTTTTTCGGCCTAAATTGACCGATTTTTGACAATATTTCAATTTTCAAAGTTATTTAGATAGCTTTCTACTTTAAAAACCGGGAAATTTTACTAAAAGCAGATGAAAATAGTTACTATTACGTATATAAAAAATTCGCCGTGCCCCCCCGATACTGCAAAAGTACCGTAAGTTGTAGTTTCTAGTAATATTTCTTTACTGACCGCCTTGAGGTCGTTGTCAAAGTGTTTCTGCGCGTATCCGGGGGTCACGCGTGGATGGTGGACGGCCATCTGATGGTGGTGGGCCACTAGACGGACACAGGATCCGAGCCCCATGCCAGCGCTTCCGGCCACGAGCACGTTTCCCACTAAAAAGCACATATTCGGGGCGTTCGGGTGGAATGCAACGTAGTCGACGTGAAAAAGCGTACCAGGTGTGGTGAGGGCTCGATCGAGCTTGGCGCAGATGTCGACCACTTCATCGACTAGAGGGGCTTTGAACTGGGAGACGTCAAATTCTAGAAAACGTCACGTTTTACGTACTAAAAAAATAAATAAAAAGTTGTTTAAAACAGGAGCTTTCGCATTATCGGGGGGGGGACCAAATTTTTACATTTTAAATGCCTTGGAGCGCCATAGCAATTTTTTTGTGACGAAATGAACTATATTTAAATCGGAACAACTAAAAAACGTCCAAAAATTTTAAAACTAAATATTTGATATTTTTGCATTTTTGTAATTTTCTAGTAGTGAAACTTTTAGAAATCCTCCCTCCATTTATAAAAAAAATTCTTAAAAATTGGCCCCCCGCTAATGCAAAAGCACCAAAAAAGCGCGAGTTACCGTATCGATTAACAGCTTTCTGTAGTAGTGCCGCGTAGTCCGCCCTTGGTACGCGCGTCAGCGGCAAGGCGCCGCCCTGGTGCATCGCCGTCGACGTCGTCACGTACAGGAAAGCTACGAAAGAGATCGATAAATCCATTTTTTACAATCAAGCATTGATTAAACATTTAAAAAAATAAAAAGAGTACAAATAACTGGAAATATGTAAATTACCCACCAGCATCCCCAGCCCCGGAGCCAGCGACATTTGCGAGCAGGTCACGGAATTTCTGTCGATCCCCATCGGAAGCCATTCGATCTCCAAAAATTCGTGCAGCTTCGTGGAGGAGGGTTGGAGCAGCAGCGTCGGCTCCTGCTCCTTCGTATCTCCTCATTCCCAACGTCCACTTGGTCAAGTCGCGAGGTGAGAACACGTAGTGGGCTTGTTCTGTGCTCCGGAAGGTACGCCGGACCTAGAAAAGGGTCGCCTTTGGTTTAGGTCATAATACCGACAGCGAAAATCTCCACAGCCGAATTACCGACAGGACGAGATCCCTTTTGGCCAAATGCCTACAAGCCAAAACTCCGAAAGCCAAAACACCGAAATTCGAAATCCCAACGACCCCAGTTCTCGAAATCCCATAATACCGACAGCCCACGACCAACAGGACAGGGCCTAACAGCAAAAATCCCGACATACAAAAATCCCGATAGCCAAAATACCGAATCCCGAAATTCTATAATACTGGCATGCTGTAATCCCGACAAATCAAAATTTGGCCAGCAGAAATACCGACATGTAAGATACGGACATGCGACAATCCCGATAGACCAAGTATAATCCTAAATGCCGACAAGACGGAAACTAACAGGATAGGACGTTCATAATCGGAATGTCGGTATTTTGGCTATGAAGGTTCTGAATGTCAATATCTTGGCTGTCGGGATTCTGTTGTCGGTATTTTATGATTGCCGGTATTTTGGCTGTCGGGGTTTTGGCTTCGGGGAAAATGCTCTATGAGCGTGTGGCGGTCTTTTTTGAGTGTCGATATTTTTGCAATCGTTATTTTAGTTGTCGGTATTCTGGGGGTACTGCTAGCTCAAACCCACATCTTCATAGATTTGCACCATCATCCCTGCAACTCCCTCGACGCGGGTAGCATTTTGGAGGATCGGCTAAAATTGCAATAATAATTTCAGGTTAGTGAATTATAATTTTCTCATAATTTAATAATTGCCTTACCTCCATAATTGGCATCAAATAGATACTGTAGATTGTTTGGAGGTCTCGATCCGATGGGGTGGAAACAGTAGCTAGGCGGAATAGGGAGAGTAGCCGGGTGGAGACTGGGTATCTGGAACGAGAAATAGATCATGGTTTAGGAAATGATAGCAGAAAATTTAGTGGCGTAATCGGATAATCTTATTCTAGAAAATTCTGTACAATTTAAAGTTACAAAATTACAAACATAGAACTAAAACTAAAATTAGAAGAAATCCATTCAAAAAATAACATCAAAACGCAAAGAAAAATGGCTTCTGGGATTATGACTTGCGCATTCATTATTATTTTTGTTATTCTTAAAGCTAAAACTTTAGAAATGTTGGATTAAATCGATTTTTCGGCCAAATATGACCGATTTTCATTAGGTAGTTTTCAATTTGAAATTTAATTAAATTTTGCAAAAACACTATAAATTCCCTTAATATTACGTTAATCAGCGTTTCTGAACGTCTACAAATAAATGGGCTCCCCCGATTATGCAAAAGAACCAAAAAACGCACCTTCCAGCCCCTTCCAACGCCATGGTGACGACGAATTGAATCCCCTCCAAACCGATCCACTCGAGAGCATCATCAAAGAATCCGTGGTAGGTGAGGAGTTGCTGGAGGAGAGCATGAAGTTGTGAGGTCCCATAGCGATCTGGGGAGGTTTGATTGAGACCTCGAAGGAGAACGATCAACTGGCCACCACCGTCTTTTGGGCGCAGTACACGGCCACCAGCACCGGACACCTAAAAATTCCTTAAAAATAGCTCTCACCCCCGCTAACGCACTAACGCCAAAAATACTGAAAAACCCACCTGAACAGTGTGCTGATGAAGGATATGAAGTAAGGTATGTGCTGAGGTTTGTGCAGAGCATGATAGTGTAGCCGTTCTGGATAGAGGGAGGGTCTGGAGACTGTTCTGCATCAGACTCGCTTTTCCGCTCCCTTCCGGTCCGACCACACAGATTGATGGGTGGCTCGCGTCGGTCAGCCATGCCTGAAAGTTGGGTAAATTTATCAAGACTTCGTTAAAGTCAAATTTGAAAAAATACAAGTAGATTTTAGATTTTTGAGCACATTTTTTGACATAGTTTTACATTTGACATTTGTTTTTAAGTTAGAAAACAGATAAAAAAGCTTAGAAAAAGATAAAAATAATGCTTTTTCGAGCGAAAATTGCCGATTTGGACCAAAAATTTACATATTTATTAATTGTTACTTTTTAAATGGTTTTTCATATAAAATTATTGTTGAATTTCCTACCTTATATAATTTTGGTGTGTAACTGTGTGTGTGTGTGTGTGGATGTCACTTTCAAGACCCGATTTGAGGGCCTTCCCGTACATAAAATGCCCCAATTCTCCGTCACCCGGGGGGAATCGGCCCTTCTGTTTCCAATGGCGCTTTCAGAATTCTGATAAAATACAAGTTTACAAAGTTAAAGCCGGTTTTACTCATTTTTGGGGGTAATTTGCATGAGTAAAAAAATCGAAATTTCTTCATTCTTGCAAGTTGCACTCGCGAGTGTGGTCGGCCGGGGGGGGGGAGGGGGGTCCGAAGGACCCGAGCTATCGGAAAGTCAAATTTCTTATGCAAAGGCCGCATTCCAGCGCCCAAGGCCCGCGAAGCGGGTTTTGGGCGCTGGTTACTAAATAAAACACGCAGAAATTTCCCCTCTCCCGGTAATGACAAAGCACAGAGATTTTAGGAGTTTTAGGGCTTTTCAGAGGTCTTTTAGTGGAAATACGATGTTCTAACCTGGTTTTTTTATTAAAAAAAAATTCAATTTTTACCGATTTAGTAGCATTTCACTCCTATTTTTGTTGGTTTCCTATTATTGATTCTTTTAAAGTATTTGATACAGATTTAAATGTCTTAATCGATACGGAAAAATCAAAATGACTTTTCTATGAATTTTAATTTTTTAGATTATATTTATATTGGTATATTACTCTTTCGATTATTTAAAAGATTTTAACGCTTGTATCGACAAGAAAAGTAAAAAATTTTAGTACCTGTATAAGCGAGGTGGTAGCCTGGGCATCGGGTGTCAAGACGAGAGGTGGAGCTTGACCTAGCCCCTCAACTTGTTCCCTCGTCAATCCTTGCCCCGTATCTTCTGTATACATTTGTAACATTCGAGTTCTATCGTCAAAATAGACAAGATCGGGCTGAGAGGCGTCTGGTAGATGTTCACCCTCAAACACCGCGGCGGCCAGCTCTTTTCGAGCGTCCAGCGGCACCGAGCCTGCAATAAAAATAAAATTTTTGGTACTGGTCTCTTAGCGGGGGTGTCCAGTAGGGTTGTTTCTCGGAACAGACCGAGATTCGGAACTTTCGGAACAAAGACTGGTCGGAACGGTCCGAGATTCGCGTGTTCCGGCTGTTCCGAGATTCGGAAAGTTCCGAGATTTGGCTGTTCCGACTGTTCCGAGATTCGGAACAGTCCGAGATTGAGCTGTTCCGAGATTCAAATTTTTTCGTATGTAAATTTCGATTTCATGTAAATCGTGTAGATTGCATCTAAATGTTTCGATTTGGCCGTCCCACGGCAGTGTGGGCGCAACTGAACACCTAATTCCGTCGATAGTTAGATATCGAATCCGGAAATTAGGGAAATGAGAACGAATTCGGGATCGAATCGAATCGAAATTCAGTCGTGTTTGGAAATTTACATGCGAAAAAAATTTGAATCTCGGAACAGCTCAATCTCGGACGTTCCGAATCTCGGAACAGGCGGAACACTATGAATCTCGGAACAACCGCAACATTTGAATCTCGGAATGTTCCGAATCTCGGAACAGCCGGAACACGCGAATCTCGGACCGTTCCGACATTCGGAACAGTCGGAACGGTTGCTGTTCCGAAAGTTCCGAATCTCGGTCTGTTCCGAGAAACAACCCTAGTGTCCAGGGCCGGCTACGCAGCACTACGCCGCACTACTTTAGACTAGAGATGTTACGCATACGAATACGACATAGGAGTTACACGTCGTATTCGAATAAGCCGTCGGAATCAAAAATGTCCTAATTCCGACCCGATCGTCGTATTCGAATTAGCGTCGGCACCAGGCAAATGCGACGATCGTATTCGTTTAAACCGGTTCATATCGGGATAGTAAGCTAATTTGGATGCAAAGCGATATGACGAAGAAAACGGTCGGAAAATCGAAACAAGTAGTCAGAATATGCATAATTTGAATAGATTTAGGAGCCAATTTCCCGGTCATTTCCGGTGGATGTGCCAATATTTTGATATTTACATAGCATTTCGTCTTGAATTTTAAATTAGCTTTTTATCCCGACGTGAAGCCGATATGCGAATCGTCGCATCGGGATTTACCCAAAGCTTATTCGAATACGATCGTCGTATTCGAATTGCTCGCGCACTTTCTCAAATCAGATATGCATATCGGGCTAATTTGCCGGAAGTAGCACATCGTATTCGTATGCGTAACATCTCTACTTTAGACTGGCTGTTATAAGATATGGTAAGTGTCTTGTATTTCGGGGCTTTTGCATTATCGGGGGGGGGGGGCTGCTTTATTAGCACCCAATTTTTTTTATTTGAATATGGAGTCGGTTTTTAAATACTTTCTAGATAGTTTTTCCTATTTAAATACAGTTATTTTTAACAAAACACTATTAAATTAAATAACCAGAATTTTCTGGGCCCAGTAAGGCGTCTAAAAATTCACGATTTGGTCGATAATAAATATTTTAATTTTTTTTTTATAAAAATTTGGGGATTTTTTCTTTAGAAATAATAAAAAACTGTGTAAAAACAGTCCCCCGATATTGCACAAGTACAAATTTTTGTCTATTAACTTCAAAGTGCCTTTAAAACGCGACCTGCAAACCCTCGATACAGTGCGACGAGAAATTCGGGTTTTGACCGCACGCCTCCAAGCAGCGAGAGCCCATTTTGTGTCAAAGCGATTGGAGGTAACCGTATGCCAGCCGTCGTCTGTCTCTGATCGACAATTTGGAGGATACGGTAGAAGCTATCCTCTAGCCATCCCGCAATTTCCGGTGATTCCTCTGGTCCCTGGGCTCGCACCCATTTTTCCACGACATCACGAGGGCTCACGTCTTCTTCGCTGGTTAGTAACATTCCCAGTCTGAAATTAACCGGGTCTTTTCTATTAAAAGGGGTGGAAACGAAAAAATACGCATTTTCAACTTAAAAATGACAAAAGGGAAGAAATTTTAGGATCTTTTGCATTATCGAGGTGGTAGAGAACTGATAGACTGGTAAATTTTTAGGCCGACCTCGATACCGTAGCCGGGGAGGCGAATTGTAGATGATGGGTCTCGAAGAGGAAATTGACATTGGCGCCAAACTGGATGCGCTCTCCAGAGGGCATCGTCAGAAGGCGATTGTCGTCCAGGACAGAATTCAGGGCTTCTACCCATTCCGGGTCGATGTCACCATCACAGACGATCCATGTGTGAACCTAAATGAGCTTTTAGATACCGTATTTTTCCCTAATAGAATTGAAGGAGACGAGATTTAAAGGTTTTGCTCTATTTCATCAATTATTACAGTATAACCCAGCAAAAAAAAACGAAATACAGTATTTTTGCTGTCGTACCTGTGTATCCTTAATAACATTCCTGGCGGCCATGGTGATTATTCCATCGGTCCATTCTCGTGTATCCATATCCATGTGGCCAAGCAGTCTTGTGCGGCTTGTGGCTTTTGGATTCAACTCGTAGCAGGCGAGCCGTTGGCCGCTGATGATCAACGCTCGTTTGAGGACACGCCAAAGTGTGGATTTTCCACTTTGGGATGGGCCAACTACGACAACACCTGAAAATGGGGCAATAGAGGTGATAGAGAGATGTGAGCGTGAGTGAGAGTGAGAGAGAAAGAGTGTGCGTAATTGTGAGAGATAGAGCGAGAGCTAGAGAGGCAGCACGAGAGAGTGTGTTTGAGCGAGATAGAGAGAGGGGCAGGATGAGAGCGAGAGAGAGAGGGAGCTGGAGAGAGGGAGACAGAGTGGCAGAGTGAGCGAGAAACAGTGCGAGTCAGCGAGTGTGGGTGAGCATGTGAGAGAGAATGAGGGTGAGAATGAACGGCTGAGAGAGACAGAGAGAGAGAGAGAGAGAGAGGCGAGAGAGAGAAACACTTGAGACCCTCTAAAACCCACCAATACGTTGCCGTAGCTGCTCATGGAGCTGGAAAAGCTTGTGAAGCTGTCGATCCCCGAGGCGGATACCCATCTCTTCAGCCGATTTTTGCAGCGGCTCCAAAAGTGCGCCAAATGGAGCGATGCTCTCCTTTCCATCCTGCAAGCGCGTTTTCCCTCTAATAGCTTTCAAGCTCAAACCTTCTTTTCCGGTCCGCCAGTATAGAAAATATCCTGTATGAGCGCAGCAAATCGCCTCGAGTCGGCAAAAGTCAATTTTGACAGCGTATTCAACAGTAGCGCCTGGACGACGATGGACGCCTCATTACTATCGGATTGTTCAGAGGAATGCCGTAGTCCGCCACAGCCACGGAGGACAGCTTTTAGGGCGCGGAGGCCCCAATCGTAGTGTTGCTGGGCGGACAGCATTTCTTTGCACAATCAAAAAAGGTAGATTTTGTTAATAATAAATTGGAAATTACCTGAAGACAGCTACCGTTTTCCTAGCCAATGGTTTCGCCTCGCGGAACCCTTCGGCAAAGAGGAGCGTCTCGGCAATGAGTTCATTATCCGGAACGGACATCACCACCGGCCGGAAGAGCTGCTTCAAGTTGTCCGGCATCTTTTGGCGACCGCCGTATCTAAAGGGATTATTGGTTCTTTTGCATTATCAGGGGGGGGGGCTTCTTTCGTAGCCTGTTTTAGTTTGTTTCTAAGCTCTCCTAAGCGCAAAAACCTTACAAAAAATCTGTTTAGAAATACAAAACACCGGTTTTTCGATAAAAATATCAAATTAAAAGATTTGAAGATAAAATGCTTTTGGATAAATTAGAGTTAAATTTTTGTTTCGATTAGAATACTCGCTGTTACGCCATTGTGCATTTACGTGGTCTTGTAAAAAATTGCGCCCCCCCGTTAACGCAAGAGAACCTAGTCTTCTTACCCCTTGCCGGCCGGGTTGAGTGTGATGAAGATGGCGGAATTGGGATCGACGCGGGCTGTATACTGGCCAAGCGTCACGGATGGGGAACGGTGGTGGATCGCATCCTGGAGATGGTTTGAAAGTTTTTTGGGTACTTGAGCATTATCGGGGGGGGAGGATAAACGTTTTTGCATAAGTCAAAAAAATAACGTACAAACGAGCGTAAAACTGAAGATTTTAATAGCTTTTTGGGCGAGATGTTCATATATTTTAAGGGAAAAAAGCATTTTCAAAAAATTGACAAATGAACTTCAAAAATTGGCCGAAAAAGTTAACTTTTGCGATTTTTAAAGTAAAAGCTGCGGAGTTTTCCACGTTTAAGAGTAGTAAAAAGCCGTTAAAAAAAGTTAAAAATTGATTTTTCAAAGTTATACCTTACCTGTATGGCTTGAATATGTTGCGAAACGGCGGAAAGCACAGTCTGCTCGAGACGGTTGAACTCGTCGAAGCAGCCCCACGCACCGCATTGCACCAAGCCGACAAAGATGCGTCCCATCGAGACGACATCGATGCCCTCGTCGCAGTTGAACACGAGCACCTAAAATTGTTGGTGTTTTTATCATAATTTTCGTACTTTTCTAAATGTTCTAATGAGTATCTAAGCTTCTCCAAACCAACCTGTCGCCCAAAAAGCGCTCCGAGCGCCTTGACCGACTCGGTTTTGCCAGTTCCGGCGGGTCCAAACGGATTCCCTCCCAATCCCATCGACATTGCCTGTGTCAGCGTCAGATAGCACTTATCCGTCAGCGGGGTGTGCACGAGTTTCGGCGCGTTGCCCTGAAAATATTAGCTTTCTGACTAATTCGACGCTAGTTCATTAGCGGGGGGAGGAGCCAAATTCTTGTCCAAGGCGACTAGTAACGTCTCAACCATAAAATTTCCCCAAATTTCCAGTAGAAAAACTATCGGCCACTCAAACAATTTTAAAGAATGTGAAATTTTGGCACAAATTTCGGGTTTTTTACTCAAAAATCGGTATTTTTGTATTGTTCTTAAAAAATATTTTTTACGTTTAGGAATAGTAAAAAAACGGTAGAATCAGCGTCTCTATGTTTGTTAGAAAAATGGATCTAAGGAAATAGTTGCCCCCGATAATGAATAAGCACCATCGAAAGTAGATGAACGCACCTGATATTCATAAGTATAGTCAAATCGAGCGTCAATCTGCCGCACGACCACTTTATCTCCATCGAGATAAAATCGAAGTTGTCGTTGCCATGTCCACTCGGCCGTACTCCTTGCCTGAGCCGTGATTAGTTGCTGAACAACATCGATGTGATGGATGAGATCGAGGATCAAGGCCTTGAGCTTCAGCCTCAGTAACCCTTCATCACGTGGTTGAAGGCCGGTAAGTTGTGTCAATTGGTGTTGAAGGGAAGTGAGGAGGGAGGGCAAGGAGGACGAGTCGAGGGCTCGCTCGCACTCACGGCAGAAGCGGACCTCCTCGGCGAGGCAGAGCACCTAAAAAATTATTGGGGTGATATTTTGGGTGCTAGCCTCTTAACGGGTGGTTGGTTTCTATTTTCATGTCTTCAAAACATCGACAAATTAGCGAAAATGCAAAAAAATCACCTTTCACCCTATTTAACAAAATTTTGCCTTAAACTTTTTTACAATATTTTGAGCCCACATAAAACTCGTAATATGTAGTTTTTTCGTCGTTATCCCGTAAGGCGCCTTCAAAAACACCGAAAAACCAGATTTTCGGGAGGTTTCCCTACCTGCGAAGGATATTTGCCCGGGTTGAGACCGTCATCGCGGAGTGCATCGACCGTCAATAGGCGCAACGTGGAGGCCATTCGATCGGATAAATGTTGGAGCCAGGTTTCGACTTGGGGGACAAGACGGACGGGAGCGTCCAGCGGAACGACCTCGCCGTCAGCCGACACCATCGCCACCAGGGTCAGGTTGCCCTCCCCGAAAACGACTTTGTCGATGCCCTAGAAAATAAATATTTTTAGAAAACTCAAAACCGACAAATTTGATACATTTAGTTACTTACCTGGAACAACTTTCTCAAATGAGCCTGGATCACCGGCGGATTTGTCGATTGGCCGAGGATCTCGAGCAGGTCATCATCGCCCAAAAAGTAGAAGCGCGGAAATGCGGCTCGTTTTTCTTGGAGGAACTGAGCAAGAGCTCGCTGGCATCTCCCCAGCTGCTCCACCACTTGCTCCAGATTTCGACGGAGTCCGGTACGGGAACACAGCGAGATGAGTCGAGCATCTTTTGCCACGTCTAAAATCAAGCTTATAGCGTCTTCATCAAAATTCCTAGGGACTGGTTGCTTAGCGGGGGGCTAATTCATGGCTAAAAAATCGATAAATTAGGCCAAATTAAAGCAGATAATTCTCCCTGCTAATCCTCCCCCCTCCCCGATACTGAAACAGTGCATACCTGCCAGAATCAGCCGAAAATCGGCATCAACTCTCGCGAATCGTGATGCTTCATGTGGCAGAGCCCCTCTTCCGAAAATCGGCTCCAAATACACCCATTTTCTTTGAATATCGGCCATTTGACCGAGACAAACGTCTAATTCGCCGAGTCTTCCTTCCCACAACTGTGTACGGTCCGAGAATTGGCCATAGTAAGGCGAATTCTTCAGTGATTGCAGAAGCGCCTCACTGTCTTTTACCTAAAAAAATTATCAACACTTGTTTCTCTGGGAAAGCTTCCCGGTACTGGGCTGTTAACGGGGGGGATTTTAATGAGGGTGAACAAGCTGTCTATTCTATATACAGGGTGTCCCATAAAAAAGCACCCCTCCGGCATTTCGCCATATTACATCGGATCGGTACCAAATTTGGACCAGAGGTGTATTGGTCCCTAAATAACCACAATCCTAAGTTATAGCCCGCCAGCTACAATAGTTTTCGAGATACATCAAAAATAAACTTTATTATCCGTTTTTCATAAGATTTTCGTCGGAATCGACCATTCGAATATTAAGTGAAAATGAAGCGGCAAGCGTTCTTTACCCCTAGAGATTTTTTCCTGATAAAAATTGATCATAACCGTTGATTTCAACAATTTTTGTAACCCAAAGTCACCCCCGATATTAAGCGAAATTAGGGATTCGCAGCGGGAAGTCGATGCAAATCGATGCAAAGTCCAAAAAGATAGCCGAAAAAACTGTTAAGAATCGCGTCAAAAATAGGTTTTTGGCGATAACTCGAAAACTACTGTAGCGATCGGGCTATAACTCAGGATTGTGGTTATTTATGGTCTGATACACCCTTGGGCAAAGTATGGGACCGATTGGATGTAATGCGGCGAAATGCCGGAGGGGTGCTTTTTTTTGGGACACCCTGTATCTACTTAAAAAATCTATTTGTATCGTGTATTTTCATAGCTTTTAGACATTATTGATTTGTAAGTTTTCAACAGGCATTTTTAGAAAATTGAAAAATTGCATTTTTGTTTAAAATCAATATTTTTAAAAATTTAAAAAATTTTAGTAATTTGCTAGACTTAAATACGGTGTAAAAATTATGACAGGGTCGCTATTTCATTCCTTGAAAGCTACGAGGCGAGGGGCGAAAATTAGACCCCCGCTAACAGCACAGTACCGGGTAACCGAATCTAAAAATAGAATCACGATTTTTCCGAATTTCCACGTTTGAGTTTTCGAATTTTTACCATTCCAGATTTTCGGGATTTTGAAGTTGCAAAATTACGAATTTTCAGTATCTCGAATTAGCGGAATTTCGAATTTTCGGGAACTTTAGTAGTAATTTTTTAATCTAATCTAACTTATTAAACTAATTTTTATACTAATAATTAACTACTTTTACTACAAATAACTTATTTAACTAATTTTTTGGTAATTTTAGTAGAAATTTCGGGATTAATACGGCATTTCTGAATTTTCGAGATTTTGCCAGTTCCCCACTCAAAATACCGCAAAATACTCACCGAATTAATAGCCTCCTTCCACTCCTTAATAATCTTGATCGTCTGCCCATTCGTATGTTTATAATCAACGAGCGAGAATTGTGTATGCGCTGCCCACATCTCCAATTCAGTGATCGCCTCCCTTATTGCCACTTCTCCATGCGCTCTCCCATTTAACGCCTTCAACTCGTCGAGATGTGAGAGAATTGAGGGGGCGACAGCAACAAGGTCACCAAAACGGAGTCCCTCAATTGTTGTCCCACGTGGAATGCCGACCATTCGAAACAGTTCCACCCAATGTTCTTGGCTCAGCTGGTCTCCTCGACAGAATTTGAGGGCTCCCGCGAATTCTCGAAGCCCCTCCACCTCTTTCCAAAGTCGAAAAAGCAGCGGGCTTTGCGTGCCTTTTTACCTGAATTTTATTTTTATCATTTTTGTTGTTTTATAATACATAATGCCGAAAATTAACAGTGTCGAAATTTTGAGATATCCAAATATCGGAATTACGTAACTATTGTCAAATTTCATAATGTCGAAATATCAGAATATCGATATTTTAATATTCCCAAATATCAGAACATCGAAAAACAGTCGAATTTTAAAAAATAGAAAATGTCATAATGCAGAAATATCAGAATGTCGACATTTTAATATTTCGATGTTCATAATATTCAAATTTCGAAAAAGTTCATTAGCAAAATGTTGAAATTTAATAATGCCGACAGAATAGAATATCGAAATTTATCGTCGAAAATTCAAAAACAAGCAATTTCGTAATGTTTAAATATCATAATATCGTCATTTAATACTTCAAAAATTTTACGGTTTCTAAAAAGTTAATTTCCGCTTTCAAATTGGCCCACCGATAATGCACAAGTGCCAAAATGTCGGCATTTTGAAAATTCACCTTTTTGAAAATTGCCCTATGCATTTCAACTTTTTGAAAACAAGTTAAATGCTGCTACAAACTACAAAATGACCTTGTTCGCCGATTTTTGCAGGAATTCATCGAAAAGGCAGGCTTATATTAGAAAAATTGGCTACTAAAAACGAAACGATAGGTCCCCCGCTAATGCACAAGTTCCGGAAATTTCGGTATTTTTCGACTTTCTGATATTTCGACGTTTTAAAATAGGCCTTTCTTTCCATTGAGTCACCACAAACTACAAAATCACCTGATCGGCCCATTTTTGCAGGAACTCGTCGAAAAGGTAGGTCTTTGAGCGGAACACGACCCAGAGTTCATCTCCAAGCTGTGTCATCTCATCGTGGAATTGCTGGATTGGCAGCCACTGTTCAGCAAAAGCACCCAATTCCTCCTCGAGTCTTCCGAGCCGAGCCAGCGAAGGCGCTGGCTCGCCGAACTGGGTGCACTCCGCGAGAAGCCGCTCCTTTCTGGCGCGTAGCTCGTCAAGTTCAGCCTTTTTCTCGGCTATTGTGGACATGGCTTGTTGAAGTCCGTCTCGTTCACCACCAGCGAGGGCATCGCTTTTCGGCTTCACTTGGTCCCATCTAAAAATTGGGGGTTTTCGGTTCTTTGGCAATATCGGGGGCGTCACTTAAACCCAGAAATGCCTAGTAACGTAATTTAATATACATTCT